GTTATTGTAAATATTGTTAATAAATAGATATTTACTTTAATTTTACTTTAAATTAAAATTATAAATATTGTTACCAATAAATACTATTAATAAATTTAGTAATTATTGTTATATTAAAAATGTTATTAAAAGTATTGTTATCGATTATTTAATAAAATATTATAATTACTATTACTGATAAATACTGTTAATTTAATTTAGTTTTGGTAATTATTAATTTAATGAATATTGTTAATAAATCCTATTCATAAATTTAATATTTACTTTTATAATATTAAAACTATCATTAATGATTATTTAATTAAATAGTATAATTACTTACTATTATTGATAAATGTTGTTAATAACGATTTGGCAACCGACGGTTCGACCGTCCAGTTCGAATGGATGGCCTGTTCTAACAACAAAAATTACAAGCAAAAAATTACGGAACCATTCTGGCCACCAGTTTTCGGGTCGACGATTCAATCATCCGGTTCGAACGGACGGTCCGTTCTAACAACAAAAATTATAGGCAAAAATTTGAGTTTGTGAGGTCCATTAAATAGTATCATGTGTTATGTCATTCGAGCGTGTGACTCATACGACCCAAAAATGATGGTTTTTGGGTTGACGGTTTGACTGTTCAGTTCGAGTGGACGACCCATTCTAACGACAAAAAATTACAAGCAAAAAATTACGGAACCATTCTGGCCACTGATTTTCGGGTCGATGGTTTGATCGTCCGATTCAAACGAATGACCCATTTTGACAACAAAAATTACAGGCAAAAAATCGTGTGTGTGGTCCATTAAGTAGTACCATACATGTTATGTCATTCGAGTGTGTGACTCATATGACCTGAAAATGGAACCATTCTGGCCAATCGGTTTTCAGGTTGATGGTTCGACTATTCGGTTTGAACAGACGACCCGTTCTGACAACAAAAATTAAAAAAATAAAAAAATGGCCAAAAATCATTGAATGGATCAACGAGTTAACGGTTTGACCACTTGGGTCAATGGGTCGTTGACTAATTCAACGATTTTTGGCCAGAGATTGGGATTGGGGTAAAACGGAACTGTTTCCTGGACGGTACCCAATTAAAAAAAATGGTTGACTCGTTCTGACAAAAAAAATTACAAGCAAAAAATTGAGTGTCTGAGATCCATTAAGCAGTACCATACGTGTTATGTCATTCGAGCATGTGACTCATACAACCTGAAGACTGAACCGTTCTGGCCACAAGTTTTTGGGTCAACGGTTCGACTGTTCGGTTCGAACGGATGGCCTGTTCTGACAATAAAAATAAAAAAAAAAGACCAAAAACCATTGAACGGATCAACGGTTAGACCGCTTGAGCCAATGGGTTTTTGACCGATTCAACAATTTTTGGCTAGGGACCGAGATTAGGATAAAACGAAACCGGTTGCTTGGATGGTTCCAGTAGACATTCAAGACTGTTATCAGTCTTGAACCCTAATTGATTTCAGGTTCGAAAATAAGGAAAAAAGTATAGAGAAGAGAGGAGGAAGAGGGAGGAAGAGCAGTAGAACACAAGAGTTGAAAGAAGGAATATAACCTCAATGTTCTGCCGCCGCCACTTTATTTAATATTTATAGGTTATGCTCATTACATGGAAAGGACAGATCTGTCCTTAGTCATTACATAACAAATAGAGCAAAATAAGACTGGAATAAATAACAACTGAAACAACTAAATAACCAACAACTGACCCTAGGAAGACTAGAACACCTTCTACCCTACGAACACAGTGGGACCGTAGCTGTGGGGCCCACATCAGTGTTCTCTACACTCCCCCTCAAATTGGGAATAAATGTTTATCATTGCCAACTTGGAAAGATCCGCCTCTAGCTTCTTCCGTGGTACAACTTTGGTGAGGATATCTGCCAGCTGCATGTTGGAGGTGATGTACAAGAGACACACTTCTTGTGATAAGACCCTCTCTCGTACAAAATGTCGATCAACTTCAATATGTTTAGTTCTGTCATGCTGCACCGGGTTGTGTGCTATATTAATAGCTGCTTGATTATCACGATACAAAATCAGGGGCTTCTCATACTCAATACCCAACTCCTCAAGTAGTGATCTTAGCCAAAGAATTTCAGCCACTCCGTTAGCCATTGACCTGTATTCAGCTTCAACACTAGATCGGGAGACAACACTGTTTCTTACTCCTCAAAGAGACCAGGTTACCTCCCACAAGAGCACAATATCCAGAGGTAGACCTHCTGTCATCAACACTCCCAGCCCAATCGGCATCCATATAGACCTCCACCTTCATGTGGCCATTGTTCTTGAATAGTATACCTCTACCCGGGCATCTCTTCAAGTATGCTAATATTCTTTTTGCTGCTAGAAGGTGCGTGGTTCTAGGAGAATGCATGTACTGACTGACAACACTAACTGCATAACTGATATCTGACCGAGTGAGGCATAGATATAGGAGCTTTCCCACTAACCGCTGGAACATAACTTTGTCTTCAAGCAGCTCCCCACTCTCTACACTAATCCTGTGGTTCTGTTCAATGGGTGTATCCGCAGGTTTGACACCTAGCTTTCCAGTTTCCACCAACAGATCTAGAACATATTTCCTTTGAGAAACAAAGATCCCCTGTTTAGATCTAGCAACCTCAATACCCAAAAAATATCGTAGTGCACTCAGATCTTTCACCTCAAACTCTTGATGAAGGAGTTGTTTGAGGGACTCAATCTCATGCCTATCATTTCCTGTCACCATAATATCATCAACATATACTGCAAGTAGTGTCAGAGAAGACTCCACCCTCTTGATGAACAATGTATGATCTGACTGGGCCTGTACATAACCGAACTTCCCAAGGGCTAGTCTGAATCAGTCGAACCAAGCTCTAGGTGATTGCTTCAAACCATACAATGCCTTATTGAGTCGGCATACCTTCTTACCTACCTCTGTATCATAGAATCCAGGAGGCAACTGCATGTAAACTTTTTCCGGCAGACCTTCTTGGCTACCGGGGAAAATGTCTCAAAGTAATCTATACCATAAGTCTGAGTGAACCCTTTTGCAACTAGTCGAGCTTTGTACCTCTCAATGGAACCATCTACATTGTGCTTCACAGTAAATACCCATCTACATCCAACTGGTTTCTTTCCTTTGGGCAAGTCAACTAGCTCCCAAGTATTATTTTTCAATAGGGCATCCATTTCAACTTGCATTGCACCTCTCCACTCCGGGACTGATAGGCTTCTTGCACTGTTCTTGGAATAGGGACATTAGTAACGAAAGTGAGATAGGACCTATAGGAGGGAGATAGGCGATCATAGGATAAAAAATGGGAGATGCAGTTGGCTGTAGATGTGGTGCAATGCCGTTTTCCTTTACGGATGGCAATGGGAAGGTCAAGGTCGTCTGCAGGGGGTGAGATGGCAACAATGAAAGGAGTCTCTGTGGGCCCTGGGACTGTAATATCTGGACTTGGAGCCACAGAAGAGGTTGGGGCTGGCCGGGACTACTAATGACCAAGATCAACTTGCCTGCATCGCCTGTGACAGACTCTCAACTCTTGATCCCCCTGACCACCCTCGCTGCTGCAGCCCTCATCACCCAATGGAATAGGTAAAGGAACAGCCCAAAAGTATTAACCCTGCCCTCACTGCACTCCCCCTGAAGAAAAGGACCCAAATCTCCACGCTTACTACTCTCCCTCTGAGGAGAGATCCGAGAATAGTAGGGTGTCTCCTCAAAGAAAGTGACATTTATGGATACAAACTTCTTCCCTGAGACAGGATCATAGCAGCAATAACCCTTTTGAGTTTGTGCATAACCAAGAAAGATGCATTTGGAGGCCTTGGGTTCGAATTTGGAGTGATGGGGACCAAGAAGTTGAACAAAACAGGTACAACCAAATGTTTTCAGGGGAATAGTAAACAACTCCTCATTGGGGTATAAAAGGGAAAAATGAGGTTTCAATTAATAACCCGAGAAGGAACCCGATTAATAAGATATATCGCCGTGAGGATAGCATCACCCCAGAAGCGAATAGGGACATTGGAGGTAAACATAATACTTCTAGCCACCTCCAAGATGTGCCTATTCTTCCTTTCTGCAACCCCATTCTGCTTAGGTGTATGAGGGCAAGTGCTCTGGTGGATAACCCCATGATTAAGAAGATACGATGCTAATGGCTTAGCAAAGTATTCCTTTGCATTATCAGATCTAAAAACTTTGATCCTGGCATCAAACTGGGTTAGGATCATTTGTTGAAAGTTTTGGGTCAGGGCGGGAACCTCATCTCGTGAACGCATAAGATAAACCCAAGAAAACCGGGTGTAGTCATCAACAAATAACAAAAAATATCTGTACCCACCCATAGAAGGAATGTGATATGGCCCCCAAACATCAGTATGCACAATATCAAAAGAACTATTACTCCTTTTATTACTCAATGAATAAGAGTTTCTACAATGTTTAGCAAACTCACAACTTTCACATTTCAACTGAGATGACTCAACAGACTCAAACAAAGTAGGGAACATACTCTTTAAGGACCAAAAAGACAAATGACCCAATCGGTTATGCCAAAGCATAACCAGACTCACAACCTGAGAAACAAGTAACTTCTTATCCACTGACTCTTCCTGACGAGAACTCTCCCCGAGCAGATAGATTCCATTCGTCTCACGGCCAGTCCCAATCACCTCTTTGTCTCCAGAAAGACAAAAGACAAGGAGATAGTATCCGATAGTTTGATGTCACCCTTTCTAGAAATAGGGACAAGAGAGCCATCAGCAATAGATACTTTATCCCTACCAGAAGATAAGTGATAAGTAGTAAACAATGAAGGCAAGTTAGTCATATGGTCGGATGCACCTGAATCTATTACCCAACAGGGTTCAATAGTACCTGGAGCTGAGGCATGGTAGGCTGAGGCTCGAGTACCTGAATGTGCAAAGGCTGATGTGGCAGGGGCTGATGGTGACTGCGGTGACTGAGCTGAATTACCAACTTCCTTTTCCAACTATATTAGAGCAGCTCGAACTGCAGCTAAGGTCTCTAAGGGTGTGCCTCTTGTGCCAGACAAGGATGCTGAATCAGTAGTCACAGCCGCATGAGCATTACCCTTCTTGTTTCTCAACTTTGTCGGGACCAAATGTGGATGCAGCTTCCAACATGTTTCTTTTGTGTGTTTAGGTTTCTTACAATGCTCACATACCACATCCCTTTTATCTTCCTTCTTTCTGTCCCTCTCTGAATCACCCCCTGTTTTGGGTTTGACAGCTACCAAGGCAGGTGTAAGCGGTTGAGGTTGCATCATGACTTTCCTCCTGGTCTCTTCACTGTGCACTAAGAAGTATGCCTGAGAGAGGGCCACACTATCTCTGGTCAAAATCTGCTGCCTCACAATATCATATTCTGAATTCAGTCCTGCCAAAAACTCAAACACCCTGTTTGTCTCGATGTGCTTTCTATGGGTCTGAGCATCTTTGAGACTCTCCCACTCAAGAGTCTCTAAGTGATCAATCTCATGCCACAGGGACTTCAAGGTAGAGAAGTAGACCGAAACCAGTTTCTCTCATTGTTTAAGGGTATTCACCTCACATTTCAATTCATATGCTCTRGCAACATTAAGGGGTTGGGAGTAAGTTTCTTTCATCACATCCCATATCTCATTGGCTGTGTTTGCCCACAAGTAATTTCGGCTGATATGAGGCTGCATAGAATTACACAACCATGTCATAACCAAGTAGTTTTCTTGGACCCACTTGGTATACATAGGGTCTCCCTTGGAAGGTTCTGTCACATCTCCCAAGAGATACCCTACTTTTCCCCTTCCCCCAATAGCCATCATGGTTGATTGGGCCCATTCCAAATAGTTTGATCCATCAAATCTTACGGTTGTAATCTGAAAACCTGTCTCAGAACCACCACCATAACTGCTGTTCCCAGGCCTGCCTTCTGCCTGATTCTTAAACTCCATTTCGATCAAGAACCAGAAGTCTCAAAATTAGGATTACTATAGTCAAAATAGCACTTGGACTATCAACCACAATCACAAAATTAGTATATAACCAATCTATACTCATAGTAGATGTGCATGAAGCAGGTATAAAACTGATTTGAAACCAATTACCACACACAACAGCAACAGTCCGTACAGTTTTCACCCCCTTAGAAGAGTTCAAAACCYCAAAAGAAAACTGAAAAACAACTTGAAGAATAATCTGATATGTTGAAGTAGAATTGGGGTTTTAATCAGTCCTAAAAGCAAATTCTCAGCCGTACACTCCAGACAGTACCGTACGAATAAGGCTTGTAGTATGGTTAATATGAAACCCTAAAACTGATCAATGATGAGGAGAGAACTATTAGGGTTTGCCACAGTATTAGATCACAAGGTTCAGCCCAGTATTAGGGTTTGTCGCAGGGTTAAGACAAAACCCTAGAGAATAGAAAGATAAAACCCTAGAGTGGTTCAGCCGCCCTTGCTAGATAGATCCAACCTATCTTCTCTGATAGTACTTCTCTCAGAAAATAAAAAACTTACAAGAGGATGTTGTTCGCTGCTTTCCAAGGTTACCCGAACCCAAGCCTTCTCTGATTCTTCTTGATCACCAACACGCTGCAACTGTGGCAATTCTTCAAATAGCAGCTAAACCCTCTGGAGATCTCCAAGAACCAGCCAGCGAACTCTACTTTCTCAGCTTCCAGCCTTAGATGGTTCTCATGTGTTCGGCTGGACTAGACTCACATGAGAAACCCTATCTCTAATACCAAGTAGACGTTCAGGACTGTTATCAGTCTTGAACCCTAATTGATTTCAGGTTCGAAAATAAGGAAAAAGGTATAGAGAAGAGAGGAGGAAGAGTAGTAGAACACAAGAGTTGAAAGGAGGAACATAAGCTCAATGTTCTGTTGCCGCCACTTTATTTAATATTTATAGGTTATGCTCATTACATGGAAAGGACAAATTTGCCCTTAGTCTTTACATAACAAATAGAGCAAAATAAGACTGAAATAAATAACAATTGAAACAACTAAATGACCAACAGTTGACCCTAGGAAGACTAGAACACCTTCTACCCTACGAACACAGTGGGACCGTAGCTGTGGGGCCCACATCAGTGTTCTCTACAGTTCCCAATGAAAAAATTAAAAAAAATGGTCAAAAACCATTGAACGGGTCAACAGGTCGATGGTTCGACTACTTGAGTCAATAAATCGTTAACTGATTCAACAACTTTTGGCCAAAGACCATGTCAACGAATCAATGGATCAACGGTTCGCAGGGGCCCTCCGCTAGTATATACATAATTGCTCATAATCATACATGGAATGATGGAGTTGTTCCACTTTTTTTAAAGATGCCAAGAGGCAAATTGCATTCATCAAAACCTTAGTTACAGATGATGATGATCAACAATAAAAGAAGAACAAGATATGGCTCTTGATGGAGCAAAATGGTAGGACAAGAACCAAAGCCTTTTGTTTTTTATTGAAGTCACCACAGTTTGTCTGCTCTTTAAGTCTGATGAAAAACATCATCTCCCATTTATTTCCCCGTGTTTAGTCTAGCCATGGAATATGTTACTTAAAACACGAATACAAAAATAAAAACAATAAATGATTCTTAAGATAAAAATGAATCTTCTTTTCAAATTTGTAATAATTTTTGAGAGCTGAGATGAAATACTTTGGATGGAGAATCCTAGGAAGAGAAGGCATCAAATGAACAATATCTGAATCACTTAAATAATTTTGACTGTCATATGCTAAAGAGTAAGAAAATAAAAGCTCGTGGGCATGATAGTGCAGATGATGGTTAATTGGGAATTGGGATGTCATTGCAAACAATCAACAACAACAATAAACAATTGCAAAACAATGAATGAAGATGGATGAGTTATGACTGAAAAACCTGGCTAGATAGGACCTCGTTTAGGTTTAGTGAGATTGAAAATTGAAATGCTGTCAAGATCTCCCAGGCTAGACACATGGTGGACATGAACGGAGAACGCAATGAAGAATCGGTTCCAAGATGAAATCAGATCTGACGCTTCCACGTGTGATCCCTGGGAAATTGCAAATCCGTAATTCACGCAAAGTCTAGGGGCATTTTCGGAATCCGGTGGCGCTTTAATGAAGCAAAATCTTTACAAGAACGGGGAGATGGGGTTATCCGAAAGGAACGGATATGGTTTTGACGTGGCAGCATCCTAGTGGTGGAAACCGTTTCTATCACCATTTAGAGGTTCAGATAATTTCTGCAGAAGCAAACAAGAGTTGAAAATTTGGAGCCTCTCATCAAAACTCTCAGATCATAAACGACCCCAACACACTTCATTTCATAATTTTTCGGTTTTATTATTGGAAATAACAGAACAGAGAGGAGATATAGAAAACCAGTGAAGAGAAGAGAAGTGGCCAATGGGTAGCTGTAACATGGCGTCTGCGGCTTCTGGGTTCGTGCTCACGTCTAACTTGACGTCCAACACCAGCTCCTCTTCAAAGAACATCGTCTCCTTCTCTTCTAGGAGGGATTCACGGCTAGTTGTACGGGCGTCGGAAGAGCCGACGGCGCCACCGGCCGCACCTGCCCCTAAGGAGGGTGCAGCTCCGCCTCCCAAGCCTCCTCCGATTGGACCCAAGAGAGGGACTAAGGTACTGTTGTAAGAATTTTAGCACTTTCACCACTAGCTAATTCTCCTCCTTGTTCTGTGGAGGAGGCTCTGGTTGGACTGTCATTCCTATTTTTTATTTATTCATTTATCTTATGATTGCTTGTTGTTGGATAAAGAAAGAGAAGAAGGACTCTTCATTTTCCTGTCTTTTTTTTTCTGAAGAAGAGATGGTTATTCACTTATTCTTGGAGTGGAATGATTACTTGCTACAACCAGGGGATGCTTTTCCTCTCCATCCTTCTTCTGTGAGACAAAGGAGCTGAGCAGAGAGTCTTCTATCTCTCTAATGATGAAAACAAAAATATAAGCCTTGCCTTGCAACATTAGCAATACAAACAAACCAGTACATCAGCTCCTGTTTTAGTTATCTTTGTTTCATTCTGTCTTCAGGTTAAGATTCTCAGGAAGGAATCCTACTGGTACAATGGCATTGGTTCTGTGGTCACTGTGGATCAGGTTCTCTCTCTCTCTCTGTATGTGTGTGTGTGGATTTATATTAGGAATATGACTAGACTTCATAGCTTCATGTTACCAGCTAGCAGTAAACGGGTGCTATAGTTTTCTCCTGTTGGAGCCACCATTCAGGCACCATCCCTTTGTCAATTAAGCCAACCGACATAACTTGAGGCCATCTCCTTGATTGGTAAAGGGCTGATGGCCGGCCCAATAAGGTCGCCCAATTGGTGTATATATTTTGTCAATTCAGTCTATGGCCCAAGACTTGGATAACCTTATCTATTGATCAGATGCTAAAACTCACTCAAATGAAGAGTTATGACAGCAAAGATAGATGGCCACTCCTGGATGTCAGTTGAGCAAGCACAAGAAACCTGCCCCTCTATGCTCTATTTTATTCTATTTCTATCTTCTTCTGAATATTGGCATTTGTTACACTGTACAGGATCCCAAAACTCGCTACCCTGTCGTGGTTCGATTCAACAAGGTCAATTATGCCAATGTTTCTACAAACAATTACGCATTGGATGAGATTCAAGAAGTGAAGTGAAGTGAAATGAGAAAATCATCTGTTATAATGTGCAATTGTAGCTTTCCTTTGCTATTGAACGACTAGTGTATTCACAGAGTCTGTATTATACTTCTCTTGTGGGATGTGTTTTCTTCCTCTCTGCTACTCCTATTTATATATTGATTACAACTGCAAGTCTAGTTGATAACATATATGCTATATACACAACTTGGGCTGTTCATCACTCTATGCACACTAGACCTTCAACAAGCAGCTGGGAGAAGCAGGCGCTTGGTTCCAGACAGGAATGGGGTCTCACGGTTTTGAGACAAAACCCTCTCCTGTTTTGCGCCTCGTAGAACAATGACCAGAGAAGTCTGTCTTTGAGTACCTGCATCACATGAAAAGAAAGGGTTTTGGTAGCTTTGGTCTCAACGACCAGTTAATAACAGGATTATAATTGCTTAGGAATTCAAATGCACAATCAATTGTTTCATGCATATAGACTATAAAAAAAAACATTTCTAAATGAGGAATGACCACCTTGCAACGTAAGATACATCTTCCATGTACGCATTTGAGTTACTTATATCTAAACACTTAATAAAGTAGCCGGAAAAGCAGATTGTATGGTCCTGATTTCTTTGGGACAGTTTACTCATTCCAGTTAATAATGTTATAATTGATAATTTCTTAAATTTTGCATAGTCTTTCCGTCTAAGTAAATAGTACATCAAATTACCATCACATCTAATAACACAATAATAGATTCTGAATTACATGACCACATAATTTAATAGTCTTACTACTACATGAGCACAGTGGCTACTTGTATGGTGCCTGTCAACCTTACCTTTAGAAGAATACCCAAAAGTTCTATACCTCTGAGACTTACTAATTACCATTATTTGACATTGCGAAGGGTTCTGCTCCTTTAAGTAGTGGAATATAGTGTGAGATCACAGTGGAGGCAAAGACATATAACTGGTATTTTTTAATATAAAATTCAACTCAATATTTCATATGTGTCATCATGCTTACAACAAACAGTGCAAAAGTGTTCTATGAATTACCTGGATAAATAATTGATCAAAAAAAAATTACCTGGATAAATATCGATAGAAGGTATTCTTGGCACCAATAAACCAGTATCCAGCACACATTTTGGTTATCTACTTACCAGACTGGCAATAGTGGTCCAGTGCCACCCTCCTTCTCAGGGTCTGGAATGCTTGTGTAACAAAACAAATGGTTGGCCAACTCCCAGCTCCAGTCCTGCTTCCTTGAAACAGACATTTGAGGCCATCTGTTTATCCTAACATAATGTTCCCTGATCCTTCCCTCTCCAACAAAACTGGTAACAACAGAATAACTGCACTCATGGCCACCCCAAACTGGATCACCAGGATCTGCAGTTTGGGTGCCATTTGGATGGAAGTAGCGGTGCATAGGAGGGCCTGTGCCCTTCCAAGAAGGATCTAGGTTTCTCCAATATTCAGGAGCCTCCTGCCAATGACAAGTGCAATCAGATTGGTTTATGACCATGATACCCAGATACCTGTACATGCCTAGTTACCGGTGCCAGACACAACATTTGCCAGATACTGTGTAGATACTTCTAGACGTACTCTATGATATTATCACTTTTAAAATATATAATATATTTTAACAAATTATACTATAAAAAATCTGTACATGTTGAAAATTAATTAAGTTTGGCATGATACGAGTCTTGAAACTAGTATATGGCTTTTAAAACTAGGTATTAAAACATGATATAAATATATTCCATAGAAACCCATGCTTGTATCTTTGTCCGAGATTTTAGCCGTATCTGTGTTCTGTGTCAGTATCAGTATCTGGGTATCATAGGTTTAGGATTCAAGGAAATTTTTCTTGCAGTAATTAGGTGTTTTTTGGCAGCCCTAAGTTCAGTTCATGTGGGTCTGAGCAGAAGTAAATAAAAGTAAGAAGAAAAAGAACTATGTTGGAACAAACCTTTTTAAAACGAAATTCCCACACATGATCACAGAGGTCCTCCTTCATAATGCGGTTCTGAGAGAAAAAGAATTCAAGATTAGGAATTGCACGCAATTTATCTTCCAACTACCAACAATTACCGCAAATACATCGATATAAACAAATTATTTTCCGCGGTATGAATCACTTCCATAGGATGAATTTTGGTTCTGAAATATCTCTTGATTTGCACCTCTAACTAAAACTGTAATAGTAAGGAAAATTCTCATTGGTCCAAGAGAAGCATTGGCTATTTACAACCATGATTATGTTATTTTAGGGCTTGGATGATAATGTGTGGTAACAGTAATTGTAGCAATGGAATCATAGATTGGAATTGGTGCCTCAGCTAAAATGGTGGAAGGAAAGCTCTCATCGGGAAGTACATCCTATGATTTAGACATAACTTTGGTACCAAAAAAAAAAAAGACGGGGCTCTGAAGAGTACTCAATCATGAATCAATTGCTTATTACTACTGAATGACAATGCATCATTATGATCTCTGAAACTCAACTTAGCAAAGCCTTCTTTCATTTCATGAAGAGATCCTCGTTCCTCAATTGTGATTTGTGAGAGATGAGAAATTACTTAAAAAGGATCCTAATCTCAAATACCCAAATAAATATGATCAGGTGTATCAAATGTTGTAGAAATGTTAATTTCTAATTGATAGGGAATAAATTTGTAATTTTACCTTATATTAACAAATCTGCCAACAGATAGAGTTTTCATTCTTCCATATCACATTCTTCCTTCTTCCACCAAATCACTAATTGGCACCAAAGCATCCTATAGTTTTCTTCCTTTTAGATTTTTTTTCCAAGAAACTTGCTGACATCACTAACTATACGCATTATGTCAGAAGGGGTACAGCCAGTCTTCTATATCTAAGGAATAAAAACCTAGATTTTGATAGATTATACTTTTTAGGTTTTTACTGATGATGTTTTGCAGATTGGTTGAAGCCTTTTTGTTACTTCCAAGGAATGCAAAAATCAGAAATTTTAGTTTATTGTTTTCTAGCTGGTATATATGGTGGGATCACTTCTGTGCAATCCATATGACATTTCTGGTATTACCAAAAAAAATGACATTCATGGATTGATAGGACTTTGTCTCACAAATTTGGGTTGATTTTCTATTTTTTTGGTGTAATTTCTTCTATACCATGTCAGTGTTATCAAAGCATTGACAATCAATCGATACTCACGATGTGGTTCCCTAGGGCAATTAAGCATTATGCTCTCTTTGAGGAAGCATGCATGTTGCCTTTCTATACTTTCTTCATTGGATAATGTTGAAGTTTGTAAGATATTCGAAAAATTATTTGTGGGTTGAAGCGATCTTTTGGAACTTGGTTTAATGGGTTGAATAAAGCTGTTACAAAGGTCGGGTATTCTCAAAGTCATACAGAAAATACACAGTATATCAAACATGATGAGAAATCTACTACTTCTCTCAATGTGTATGCAGATGATATTATCATGACTGGGAATTTCCATGCAATGATTCAACAATTTAAACATTTATTGGCTTCAATTGTTTTTATTATTAACTGTTGGAACTTCATTAATATGAGTGAAAGAATAACATGTACAATAGGATGCTGAAATCCCACATTGAGCCATTGGCTCCTAATCCCAAGCTTGCTATTTGTACATCGGTATGTTCCCCCAAAACAACAATGCCCTATTCACTCCTTGTTTGGTATGGAATTTGCCAAACTATTGGCTGATCTTTACACCTATAGAGAACACTGGTGTGGGCCCCACAGCTGTGGTCCCACTCTGTCCGTAGGGTAGAATGTACCCTAGTCATCCTAGGGTTAGCTGATGGTCAATTTGTTATTCTAGTTGTTATTTATATTTCAGTTTTATATTGTTTTATGTGTTATGTAAATACCAAGGGCAGATTTGTCCTTTCATGTAACTAGCATAACCTATAAATATTAAATAGAAGTGGCGGCGGCAGAACATTTAGATTTTGTCATTCCTTTCAATTCTTGTGTTCTACTGCTCTCTCTCTACTCTTTCTCCTCTCTCCTCTATACTTTTTCTCCTTTTTCGAACCTAAAATTTATTAGGGTTCAAGACTGATAGTAGTCTTGAACATCTACTTGGTATCAGAGCAAGGTTAGGGTTTCTCATGTGAGTCTAGTACCAGCCGACCACATGAGAATCCCCTAGGACTGGAAGCTGAGAAGGTGGAGTTCGCAGACTGATTCTTGGAGATCGCCAAAAGGTTTAGCAGCTGTTGAAGGCTTGTCACGGTTGCAGAGTGTTGGTGATCAGGAAGAATCAGAGAAGACTAGGGTTCGGGTAACCTTGGAAGGCAGCGAACAGTTTTTTCTTGTAAGTTATTTATTTTCTAAGAGAAGTTCTATCAGAGAAGATAGGTTGGATCTATCTAGAAAGGGCGGCCAAACCATTCTACGGTTTTCTCCCTTCTATTCTCTAGGGTTTTACAGCAAACCCTACTGTTTGGCCAAACTGCCTTAGCTTTTTTTCTCCTACTCTAGGGTTTGAAAGTGATCTTGCGGCAAACCCTAATGTTAGACTGAACCTTGCGATTTACCTGGAGATGTCCTCAAGTTTTTTGTTAGCATTGATCAGATTTTAGGGTTTCATATTGTTTTGGAATGGTAGAATACTGATATGTTTCATTCTATTGCCAATGGGCATATTTATACAGTAAGTTGCTGCAATAAATAGAAAGAAAGAAAAATAGAAAGAAAAGAAAATAGAAAGAAGAAAAAAGAAAGAAGAGAAAATAGAAAGTACAAAAATAGAAAGAAAAAACTTTCTAAATCAATCCTTCCACAATCCTAAGAATATATAC